AACAGGGCCTTCTTTACAGTACAGTTCAACGAGTCCTGGTCGCCACACACCGTGCAGTGTCCCACAGGAAGATCCTACATAAATACAGTAAACCCTCGCCAACCGCAGAATATATTTCCTGAGAAACATAGCGGATGGCAATACTAGTGCCTTATAAGAATCCGGGTTTTTGAAAGGAATAGTAACCATAGACAGCACTTATGAAACTTAACTATTATAGATTGCGTGTCCGTTGACGACACACAAAGATATGCGCTTATGTAGGTTTTACAACATTAAACGTAGAATCATAAAAACGTGTTAAAAACACGCATTCTAAAGATAATCTTGAAAACTTGTCTGAGAAGTCAATCCAGCCCTGGCGCCAATAAGTTTAGATGCCATCGAATGTTTCAGCGTGTACACTAATTTCAGATCCCGAATACTTTAAACCATATACCGCGGTTCGGAAAACAGGATATACATAGAAAACCGCGGATACTTGAAATGTGTGGCTAGCAGAACTGCGGTTGGCTTGGGATTGTTATACGCGTATTTTGTGGCCGGATTACCATGGTCCTCGGTATGTAACAAGCCTAAACCTTTTAAACCTCAGTGGCAACTACGAATGTATATTCCAATTGCTTTAATGGTAGAAAAATTCTCTGGCGCTTTTCGTAGCATCAAGGCGCATTCATTAACTTTGAATTTTGCCCACAGACAGTATTCATGGGTAAAAACGATTTTGATAATAAAGAACGTTTATTTCCCTAATCAGCATTAAACAGCTTGTCTTCGTAACGATGAAGCTTAGTGTTTTGTATGAGGTATGAACTGAATTTTTAAGTATTATTCGAATGACTTTCGAATTTGAAAGGCTTGATCGTCTTAATAACCAGTATTTTCAGTACTTTATTAGCGAGTTATGTTTTCTTAACAATCTTTGTGTTGGAATTGTGTAATTTGCTTAGTACATTCTACTTTCCTAAATATGTTGTGTGGTTCCGCGAGAAATGTTATTTTTAATTCCCTTTTACTGTTTCGATGTTCAGAACACAACATCTGATACTCAGCTCAAACAGATTAATTTTCTGCATATCTTTTTTTAGACTTTCTTAAAATGTAGCCAACATGTAATACAGTCTGTGTCCATCTTCGGGATCAATGTCTTACAATAGCAGATTTTAAAACAAAAAAAGTGTGACGTGGATGGTGCAGATCTGAAGTAGTCGTGTATATAACATAAACTGTAGCGGATTATCTTATAAAGAACTGACAAGGAGCTAAAATTAACAGCATTATAATTTACTTTTATGCAAAGAATATATTAAAGGGAATTTATGTTCAATTATTTTGGTCTGAACATACTTTTCGTCAGTTACATTCAGTATCTACACGTAAAAATATTCCATGGAATCATAAAGCCTCCACACACACTTAGCAATATTTGATCACTGCAACCGGAACTGCGCTGCATGTTAACAAGTTAAACAATATATAAACCCACAATAAATTAACATCAATACTCTACTCTACAACAGCACAGACCGTGGAGGTTGTACAATTTAGGTCACATCGCTATGTTATGAAAAAATTATTGAAGCCATGCAGCTAGAAACGAACATAAATTTGTCATAAACACACTTTATGTCTATAAATATAAACATTTTGAAATACCTGTGAATATTAACTTCTGAAGTAGCTGGGTCTGATCACTCAGGTTGACGCTAAAGAACTTTTGATCCCGAAAAATAATTCCCAATAAGAACTGGGGTACAATGTTTGTTAAAGGTCAGAGCCCTTCTTCATGAGATTATTTGGACAGAAATGCCATCATCAACACAAAAAAATTACATCAGTCCACAAGAACTTAAAAGTGTCAGTGCTATTATGGCTAGAGCATAATTTTATAGTGCAATGATGAGCAAACATTTCGTTAAAAATCACATTAGAAAACTCAAACCTAACAGAGTCCGAAACCAAAACATACCTACGAAATTGATCGAGTCATCATGATATGTTTTTAATTAACACATTATATTTGTGGTGGATGAAGTGGCTGTCACTGAAGAAGGCTGTTCTCCGAGTTTTTGGTTTTTCCCTTCCGTTATTCTACCATTGCTACACCACACCACGATCCCTGCTCCAACAACACATTTTCATACCCTGGCCCTACAGTAAGTTTGAGATTTGGCTCGTACAGCAAACGTAATTTTATACGTATAGGGAATAATATGGTTGAGAATCTTGACTTTGCTTCATTGCCACTTGCAGCGGGCTATATACATTTAAATATCATCATCTTCCGTCCAGGGACTGTTTCGGGTTCAGCTTCCCGTTTCTTATGCAGCCCACACAAATCTGGATTTCCGTTTGGTATATACATTTAGGTATATGCTTACTTTGATATTTTTCCAGGGCTTATTTTCAGAAAATATTCTAGCCATGGGATTTTGTATTATTTTCTTTTCTATTGAAAATACCTCTAATCCCACTCTTATCCATCATGGTACATCACTTGACCGACCTTAGAATCTAGCTTTCTTACCTCCCGATTACTTGTCATGTCTTCCCCTTCAACTGTACGTGCTTCACTACCAAATAATAGCATCAATAGTACCATGGCTTTACAGAATTTCGCCCGGTTCTTTCCTTGTTTTTCGTCCGAGATTTCTTTTTGTAGTTTTGTATCTTAAAATCCACGAAGGTTGTAACAAACATCGTCATGTCTGTAGGGTAGCTTCCCGATGTTTTGTGTTGACTCTTAGGTTTTCTGCACGTCCCTTTTTCTACACACTGTTCACTTGAACAACAGATTTCGAATCTATGTGGCCATCATTAGGTTCAATTCCCTACTTCTGTCATTGAACTTAGGATATCCTCCCTATTGTCCATTAATAATGGTAAACCTGTGTATTAAAATGTTTTTAATTTTGCCAAGGTGGTTACAAATTAAATTCCAAAATGTATGATTTGAGGTTTACACAGCGGTAAGTATGAAGATTTCTGTCTTCTGGGTTGTTGCGCTGTGTAGTCTGGTAGATGTTTACCAACGTTTCATAGGTCATACTGCCTCCGTCATCAGGGCGATGAACAACACAGCGCATCAACCCAGAAGACAGAAATCTTCAAATTCCAAAATTATTATAAAAAAGTTTCTGAAATACTTTTAGTACAGCCTGGCGAGTCCCGAAGGCCTTTTGTGACTTGTATGGTGCTGTAGATGATTAACGCAAACCACACAAAGCCTTTATAACTAGAATGTCTTTTTTTTCTGTCGGTCGGTAGTCTACATCAATTTTCCTCCTGAATGAAAACTTACATATTATTATTTTTAGTTTTTCGTGTATTTAATCTGTCAGGACAACGAGAAAGGATTTGTCTTCGAGACGTGTTTTAATCGTCCTCTACAGCGATGACGTGTGATTTGCAGGGTCAGTCACTGAAACAAAACGCCGTCCCGATAATAATAGACTGCACAAGAGCGCCTGTAGAGGGCTGCCAGTGGCACCTGTCGCTGTGGCGGAAGTGATGTCATTGGACGCGTCGTCGCCAAGCCTACTTAACTTTGTATAAAACTTTACGAGAGGTTGAACATAAAGTCGTCGGCTAATTTTAATTCAACGCTTTTTGGTCCGCTATAATCCACAAGTCACATCTGGGTTGTAACATTTCTCCAAAGTAGTAGAAACTAAAATTAAAGAGCTGGACGTATTTCTCAGATCAAATGTTTGCGACTATAAATTCGTTTACGATCCTGATATTAATTTAATACTTTTACAGATAAAAATTGTTTTATTTTGCTTTGTCTTGATATTGTTCAGAATGATTGTGGCAGAAAGAAACTATCAGCTACGTCAGCCCAAAGCAGAAGTAAACAATTTATAACGCTGCCGCCATCTCTGACATCCCCTGTTTAGACACTGACAGAGCCCAAAACACTGGGTTCTGTGTCAACGTGGCTGATCGTTTGAACAGATTTATTAAATTTAACTGTTTTAGTAAACCCAAAATGATAGGTGTTTATAACAGCAAAGACCGCCAATAGATACGATACTGAACCAGTTCCATTCACCTTCTATCCAATAAATTAATCCAACAACTTATCATTATCTTGTAATAACTTCGCAGTGTTAAACACTTTAATATTAAAACTGTTAAGCCTACATCGAACCCGAACATGGGTAACCGTCTGCTTATCCACTGTTCACGATTACTTATTCAAAATATTCCCATCTCGCCTCCGTATTTGCATCTGTATTTGAACTTGAAGTCACTCGCTGTGAACAGTCTACTGCTGATAAACATATTTAGGCCTATTCATAAGCAAAGCTACTTCCTCTAATAATAACATAAATATTTTGTTGAATTTATTTAAATTTATTGCAAAGTAACATTATATGTAAAAATTATATATCTTAGGCTGTGTGATACAGATATTTGAAGATGGTTGTCTTCTGGATTCTTGCACCATATAGGCTGGCAGACGTTTACCGACGTAAAGAGATCCTAACTGCATCCATCATCAGGGGCAACGTCGGTAAACATGTACCATACTACACGGCGCAACAACCCAGAAGACCGCCGTCTTCAGACTCACTGCCGTGAGGACCTAAGATTCTACAACAGATTTTTAGTATTACTATTTTATTTTGATGAATTCGATTAATCCTTCAAAGCCTGCGGTATGAACTAGTATCACCGTCTTTGACTCTCATCTCTGTATTTTGTTAACAGTAAATGTTGGTTTTGTATGGTTCTCGGGATAAATAACGATTATATATCTAATAGCTGTAACCAATTAATTTCTGTAATCGAAACGTTTTGTGTTTTATTTACTATAGGAACTGGATAATAAATATTATTTAGGCGACCTTCGTACTTCAAAGGATTACGTTCTGTGATATCTTTTTTATATAAATATGATTTTGTGTTGATAGAGGGACAATTTTGCCTTCACCTTTGTAGGGTTTTAGAGTATATTAATTCTGTAATGAAGCTATAGTCTATGCATAACTTACATTTCAGTGTCCCCTTAATTAACTTCTAGCTGCCGGAGTTTTATACTAAATTGCCGCCCGGGATGGCATCTTCACGCATTGCCGGGATGCCAGTTTTCCTCCTGCAACAGGCAGGCATTTCAGTTACGCCAGTCCCAACACTGAGAATACATTTGTTCTATTCTATTTTAAATCTCAGGAAAGATTCACGATATTCATTTATGGCAGAAACATAGAATGTTTCCTTCTTTGAAACATAAATTGTTTCCTTAGATTTTATTAAATATGCTACATATAAAAATATTCGAATAGTTGTTGCATGTAATGTTCGTAAAATTAGTATATTTTATTCTTCTTTTATATTTTATAAAGAATGGCAAACTTACTGCCTCAATGTGTTCAAATGTATGTTCGTTTGCCAATGTTTCTTCCTCAAAAAATCACAGAACCAATTTACTGACATTGTGTGAAATTTAGTATGAATATCATGCAATTACGTATTTATATCCTATAAAGTTTGTGACAATGTTTAACGTATTCTAGAAAAACAATGTCGGAAATCGTCCATTGTCTGAGGTGGGCCTATATTTGTTGCGACGAGTTAACTCCCGAAAGGTCATGTACATCAAATGTACCTCGTACACTGGGCAATGACAAATATGTGTTCTATACGTGTTACTCGCTCTATGTACTTAATTACGAGTATCATTTACCGTTAATAACATCAGCCTTTCGAATTTGAGATGGAAGCAATGCTAGGTCTTCAGATATTGCATGGTAGCCTTCAAGCTGTTTAAAAGAAACACAACTTTAGTGTAATTTTTTTATGAAACAACATGGCTGTCGTTTCTAATCAATAATTAGCTTCCCGTCTAATGTTGTTCAAGTAATAGAACGTTTGGTTTAAGCATGTGGAACTTGGGCTGGATAAAGCTAATAAAATTAGCTGTAAATATAAATTTTATAAGAAACATTTTCTGTGGTAACATTTATCTTTACAGCGACACAAAAAATTGATATTATATCTAACAACTTAAGACGATATACTACAGTGGAATTAAACAGAGAAATTAAACGTGTAATTGTTAATGCCGATGTGCTAATTGTCGACTATTTTTAAGGAAAAACATGTTTTCATAACTTATTTCTGAAGAACTACGTGATACTGAGATTTCAAGTTCTCACATCGACGAACATGAAGATGGTTGTTTACTTTGGTGTTGCGTC